TATTTTACGTTATAATGTGTAATATACAAAAAAAATTATAAAATTAGTGCTAATTATTTACACCTAATTAGATTAAATATAGTGTATATAATGCAACACAATAATTTAATTACCTGAGAAATAACTAAATATGAGATAAAAAATGATTTTTATACGCACTCAAGACGTAAACGAAAGAGATATCGAAATTATTATGTATAATATATATATATATATATATATATATATATGTATATATATATATATAATTATACATAATAATTTCGATATTACATAATTCCGTATTACCTGGTATTATGCTGATAAGATGCAATATTTTTTACAGAACCGCTCTTGCTCTACAAATTCGAATATTTGCACCATCTGATATTCAAAATCCATTATCGTATTTAGGATTCATGCGGAATGCGTGACGGCTCGACTATTACGCGGAAAATTCTTCGTCCGCGAATTAAAAGAGCATACTTAAAGAGAAAAAAGTTGTGAAACTAATAGCTCATTCTGTTGCCTCATTCATGCGCCGCATATTCTAAAGGCGAAGTACGTAAATCTCCTCAACGTCTTCGAGATTAACTTGGACCATTGGATTCGCGGAAACTTTCTCAAGTCACCTCGCGCGGGTAATGATCGGAATATCAAGGCACGCTCCATTAATTTATTAACATTGTCTTGTTCGTCGTAAACCTCGTTTTCGCGGAAACAATGCCTGTCGCGCGTAAATCGCGAGAATGGGATAAACTTCACTGAAGACTTTCGCGAGACAGCGGCGTGCGTTTAATGCGACATCAGAATGGTATCGTAAAACCGAATACGCGCCGGCAGTTACTCCCTTTGCGCATTTCACCGCTCGACATAGCTAAAACAGTATCTCATCGTGACGCAATGGGATAAACTGTACAATTGTTTCGAGCGCGCAGCGATCTGGCACAATTGGAAGATTACTTTATCCACTTCGGCGTTCCGATTTTCTTTTCGGCCTCTCTCTTTCGAGAGCGCGGCGGCGGTTTTCCGGTTTCCGGTACCGTTGGGAAATCAATAGCCACGTGCCATACGTAGAAGTTAACCGCGCGCTTGTGAGAGGTCAGCACGCAGCCTTCGCGAGGGGGCAAATGCCGGAATTTCTCCTGGCATTTTTCAAACAATTTTTACAATTATCTACTTATTAAACATGATTTTTTGGTATATTTTTTTGTGTGGAAAAAGCTGGGATTTGCTAAAAGAGCTGGGAATGCGAGAATCATTAGTTGTGCTCCTCTGCCTCTAATTTTCACATTAAAACGCACGCTCAAATTATCTGACGGCAGCAATCTCTGTAAAACAGATTTATAGTGCATCTCATTCGGTGTTTGCGAAGATACTCTTTTTCACGATAACGCTCTCGCGCAGGTTCACGTTGTAATCGTGCAGGGTAATTGTTTGCACACACGCAATGATTTTCGCGCTGCAACGCGAAAAGCCGAAAACGGATCGGCGAGACTCCGCGTCTCGTAAAAAGCGATTGTCCGATCCGTGTTTTATCATTCCGTGTCGTATCGTCGCGCGCGGTGGAACGCATATAGCGCTTCACGTCGCGCGCAGCTTTACACCTTCCTTTTTTCGGTTCCTCAATAATTATTACGCTCTGATAATCCTGTTTCTAATGCACCGTACTTTTTGCATTATTCGCCGCTGGGCCGCTAACTCCCGGCACCTGCATCGTCGTTATATGCATGCGTTGTTTATATACCGCCGGGATAGCTCCGGCTGCTCGGCGAAGAAGTCGTTTCCGAGGGCAGTTCCTCTCTCTCTTTCTCTCTCTCTCTCTCTCTCTCTCTTTCTCTTTCTCTTTCTCTCTCTCTTTCCCTCGCTTCCGGCGCTTTTTATGGGAAAAAGCTTTCTGTAGCCGCGCCTTCGCGCGCGGCGAACTGATCCCGTTTCTTTATATAATGCCCGCCCAAGTCCGACGCGCGCGACTGGCATCATTTTTCATTCGCGATGTTCCCAGGAAACTTGAAACATAAAGCGTCAGGTTGAACTTTCGATCGGCCGCCGCGGCGGCGATTCCCGCGGCAAGTGGTATAAATTCCGAATATGATTGCAGCTTACGGGACGTAAAAGACGACAACATGCGGCTGTGCTGCTCGAAGAAAGACGAGGCTGACCCGCTGCGGTCGAGACAGGAAAATGGTACGAATGATACTCACACGTTTGACGTAATCGTAAAATGGGAAATGCAAAAGCGATCTCGATGCATTTTGGAAGAATAATCTTGAACGTAAACTGAGTGAGAAAAATTCCACGTAATAAAAATACAGTAGACGCGTGCGAGAAATGTAAAGTATTAGAAATTTTTTAAATCCACATCTCTTGATTTATAATAGTTAAAACAAAATCAATATGAAACAATAGTGAATCCACTTTACATGCTTAGCAGCATTTAACAATTTGTATATTAAGTAATTAATTTGATTCCGAAAAAAATATTTTGTACGGTTCACTGAATTTGCAAAATATACATATTTCCAAAATTATTTTACATAACGTAACGATCCGAATAAACTGTATTAATTTAGATAGAATTAACTAACATTTTCTCGCGAGTTCTGATTTTTATGCGAAAATTTTATTTTTTTTCATTGTTTAAATTTCGAAGGCATTTGCACGAATTAGTGATAAATGTTGCCCGGTTCTGTATCTTGTATAACACAGGCAAATTGTACGAAGTCTTATGCACACAGCCAGCCGTTTGAAGAGACGATTAAGGTGGGCTTATATTTCCAGCCGGATTATTCTTCCAGTTAGCGTTGTTTAAGTATCACTGCTTTACAGTAGTATTAAATTACTAAGTATACATGTATATACGCGTACAATGGACGCGAGCTTGTTAAAGAGATGTCGGAGATTTCACTGTAATTATGCGCAGATCTTAGATATACGATTATTCAAAATTACATAACTTACTATTTTCTTGATATTTAAATAATACCATATAATTACATGTAATAAGGTAAGATACAAATTCATCATAATTATGGAACAGTTTTGCGTATTTTCAATAAGCCTTGTATGACAAATATAGATATATAAATATACAGGATGTTCAAAAATTCAACCGACAAACTTTCAGAGATTGTCGGGGGCATCGAACATTGTCTGCAGTAGCAGTGTAACACGACACGCTTCCGACCCTAGGTCCATTTGCAAAAAATGATCCTTTTGGTGCTCCCGACAATCTCTGAAAGTTTGTCGGTTGAATTTTCGAATACCCTGAATAGATATATTTTCGACTGATTTATATTAATACTTTAAAATAATAGTGATTTAATATAATGATATAATGATATAATGTAGTTCTTTCTGTGATCCCTTGTCGAGAAGCGGAGATTATACAATCAAGTCTTCACTCATTTATTTTCCATAAATTTCATTTAATAAATATGTAGATGTACATACTTTTTTCATTGATGTGTGTAATATTTTGAAATGTCATTTTTATATGACATAACGGCATAATGTGATTTCTTCGTGTTATGATTTCTTAATCGAGAAGCACGGGCCATACAATCGCATCTTTATTCATTATTTATTTTTTATAGGATCAACTAAGAATCCATCAACAAGGAACGATGTAGAAAAATTTGGATTTTACCAGATCGTAACGTTCGCACTTATCAGCATACCGTTGATGCTATCGGCAGGATTTACGCTCTCCTACATATTTACTGCGGGCGAGATTAAATACAGGTACGCGCGTGTGTATCTTTGCTAATTATTATTTAAACGTTCACCTACGCATACGCAGTCAAGATACATAATTCAAACGGAATTTGCGCGGAGCACGATGAGCCTCAAGCCGTGGGAGAGAATTAAGAAGGGGGAAAAAAAGCAATTATTTAAAATGCAGATGTTTGGTGCCGGAATGCGAGGATTCGGGGAACACGACGTTCGAACCGTCGTGGATCAACGCTTCCGCGCCGAAAATCGACGAGGTCATTTCCGGTTGTACGCGTTACGTGGTGCGAGATGATCGTCCGGGCGCATGCACGACAGCATCGTTCACCAACGTCACCCGCGACTGCGATTCTTGGATTTACGATCCGGACGAGCGTACGATACTCAACGAGGTAATGTAACGCTCTCGCGGTACTTTTCACCCGTCGCGATTTAGCGGCCGATACTAATTTCCTTTTTCCTTTTTCTCTCCGCTTATCTCGATGCAGTGGGGCTTTACCTGCGACGCTAATCGATGGAAACTCACGTTAGTCGGCACGATACAGAATACCGGCCAGTTCGTCGGCTTGATGTTCGCCGGATACATATCTGACAGGTGAGAGATCAGCGCAATAACCCCGGGGCATTAATTAATTAACTTCGTGCAAAATATATATTCCGCAACATTCGTCGCGCGGATGGCGATGCCGTCGGCTTTCCATTTTATTCATATCTTCATGCTGCCAAGGAAAAAACATAATTCTAAATTTTATTATATTATACATATGACCGTGGCTAATTTAATAATTAGCTTTTACGTAATAAACTTTAGGATTATATGTATATTAAATTACTCTGCTTACATTGTTGTGTGACAATGTGATATTTGTAAAGGATGACATGCACACACGACAAATTCAAGCCACGCTATTTTTCATCTCTTAATAATGCTGGAAGGTCTAAAAATTCATGATAGTTATTTTTACACTTTTTTTCTTGTGAATTACACTCGTGGATGGATAATCAGCTGTATCGCGAAATAGATTTCTTTCGTTGCACGTTTTCTTTACGTACCCGATGATAAATCGCGATCGGTTGCGAGATTAAATTCTTAATTAAAAGGATACATTTAGTTTTACGCAATGCGAGATCGTGTGTACGGATGGTCTGTAACAATGTTTCTCCAGTTCGTCGATTTCACGGATTGTCTCGATAAGAAAGCGTGACGATAGCACGCGCGCGGTATCGCGAGGAATTTGCCGTATTGCGGCACGGCAGAAATGCGCTTTGCCGGGGACAACGGGGAGGCGTACATCCGCGTTCGTTCTTTTATTTCCAGATACGGGAGACGAACCTTTTTGACGCTGGCGACGACTCTGTCTGGAATCAGTGGCTTGATACATTCCTTCTCCGTGAATTATTGGATGTTTCTCGCATTCGAATTCCTCGATGCCACCATGGCGGCTGGAATTTACAGCGCGGGATTTATTTTAGGTGCGTTAATAACGGGACAATAAATATGCCCGGGGAGAGCAAAAAATATGCGACACCTGTAAGCGTTATGTCGTTCCTGCCCTATTACGAGTGTTCGCGGGCGGCGGAGCGAATTCTCGATTCGCCGGCGCTCTTTACTCGCGTTTGGAATGCAAATACGCGGCCGACACGCGTAACGCAGATATTTTCGAGTTATTTATTCTGGATTTACCACGTGTTTATTTAGTCGTTTATTAAAATTATAGTTGCAGCTTTATGCGACACGCATTTAGATTCCTATGAAAATATATTCTGTGACAAAACATTCCCCGGGAAAATGTAAAACTAACTAGCCGTATGCGAAAGATAATGAGCTTTCACTCGGAAATTTTTCGAGATTATACTCGCGGGAAATAAATAGATAGGGAAAAAAATATTGCATTTCGCATATTGTACGTGGAACGGATCGGAAAGTTGGTGAAATACACTTTTTTTCTGAATTGATTGATTAATGTTTATCGCTAATACAGCTGTCATTGAGGTACCTTATCAAAAACGTCGATTAAAGCGATTGTAGACTATCTCAGGAGATTCGGGATTATTTTGAAGTGTAAAACAATCTCGTAGGATTTTCAAATCAATTGATGTGTCGATCACACAAATATATTATGTATTTCTCGCTTTTGTATTAGTAATTATCGATAAATTGCATATTATATAAGATATGTTTATTATAACTCCAGGTTTTTCTCACCGCGATGTAACTTACATTTGGTTAATAATTTATGCACTTGTTCGCTCTCAGGGATGGAGACGGCGGGAATGAAAAACAGAGTCTTCGCAAGCACTATCATCTGCTGCATGTTCGCCGTGGGTGAGATCTTGCTGGGATTGATCGCCAGTTGGCTAAGATCTTGGCGAACGCTTCTTAGGGTAGTGTACGGACCGGGACTGCTAGCCGTTTTCCTGCCTCTGCTCATTCCAGAATCAGTTAGGTAATCCTTTTTAATCTTAATGAACACTCGCGTATCGGCGGGACGTCATTTTCGATTGATTAGCGAGATTTTAAATCAGCGGACGTTTATCTGCAATTCATTGGATTGCGTGATCGATTCTCCTTGGATATCTATCGCGAATTCACTTAAAAGTAATTAATTGCATTAAAATGATTAAAAGATCGAGAGATTAGCTAGAATCGTTTATTATCTTAATGCAACTTTTTTTATTAAAACGATTGAAATTTATCAAGGAATCTTTATATACTGTAGAATTCTTTACATTCTTTTATCTGCGAAATGCAATATATGCACAACACAGAATGTCATTTTCCAAAGGTGGCTATTGTCAAAGGGTAAACAGGAGGAAGTGGACAAAATATATCATAAAATGGCCCGAATGAACGGCTTGCAAGTAACGGATGAAGCCCTCAATACGTTCAAGAAATTAAGCACGGCTAAAGAAGAAGACGTACGTCATTTATCTCTTTTTTTTCTCGCAAACGTCTGACATTGAAAATGTCTCAAATTTGCCTACTGCTATCCGAAATACAATAATCGTTCGTAACTTTGAGTACAGTCAGCAACTTTTACTTCTGTAAACGCCAATGTAATACAGTAGATTTGCATATGATCCCCGCGGCTACGAGATTCATACGATCTTACAGAAAAGTGAGCTGGTGATGTCGGACGAGAGGAAACCGATCGTGCAAGTTCTACATAGCTCAGTGATACTCATTCGGCTGCTGATCTGCTCGTTCTGCTGGCTCACGAACACGTTCGTTTATTACGGACTGTCGTTGAATTCCGTGGCGTTCGCCGGGGATAAGTACATCAATTTCGTGCTCGTCGCGGTGGTCGAGATACCGGCGTATTGCCTCGCCTGGGTGCTGACCGATCACATTGGCCGTAAACCAACGCTCTCCGGCTCGTTCCTGCTGAGCGGGGCGTTCTGCCTCGCAATCCAGTTCATACCGGCAGGTAAAGAGATAAAAAAAAGGATAGAGGTTCCTCAGACAGGGAGGATGGATCCTCGTTTCGTGGATCGCTTATGAAAAGCCGTTGAATCGAGTTTACGCTGGAGAAATTTTTGCAAAGAGAGAATTTCGGAAGTATTTTTTGAAACATTAATGCACCGACGATGTGCATCTCGTTGTACCGTGTACTCCTTTCATCATCGAGCTATTTAAATGCTTATCCCATTCATTTTCGAACAAAAGGGGATAGACGTAACACGGAAAAGTAAGGAAAAAAAATATTTTGAAACAACGCCATTTTTTCACGTTAATGCTATACGTATACTCTCGTGTCATCGTGAATGAATATATAAATAAGTATATAAATGTCGGTGTCGCGTTTTTCAAAGAACTTGATATTTTCATCATGGTTTTGCTCCTCTCTATTGCTTTTAGGATTACGTCTTATCGACATGCGAGAAACGAAAGGCGCGCGTTTCTGGCTGTTACTTAACACTGCAAAATTTTCTCCCTTTTTTTTTCCTTTTCCTGTGATTCCCGTACTCGCGCGTGTCCTCGTCGGAAACGTGAAGTTTAATCGCGCGAAAATATAATATAAGCTGCGAATGTGAGACGCCGCGTTGCATATTACGTGTGTAATCCGGATCTGAGGGCAAAAAGCGCGTTGAGGCGACGCTATACGTGCCGGCGTCGTTCGGCTTAGTCGCGACCGTGTTGTTCATGTAATTATGTCGGTTATAATGGGGCCGCTATACTGCACGCGGCGCGATCCCGGTGATTTATCGCCGCTCTGTTCCAGGCGCCTGGAGTTTCGGGCCTTTACTTTTATACATGGCCGGGAAGCTGTGTATCACCATGGCGTTCGCCACCGTCTACGTCTACACGGCGGAGCTGTTCCCGACGACGCTCAGGCATTCCCTCCTTGGAATTTGCAGCATGACCGGCCGCGTCGGGTCAATCTTATCGCCGCAGACGCCCCTTCTGGTGAGTCAACAGACATCGCGGTTGCGATAAACAGATGCCCTTACTCGAATTCTCGCGCGTTTCCCGAATTGCGCGTCAAATTTCGACAACGCTGCGTAAGCTGCGAACATCAGATTTGCGAATTTATCGACATTTCTCTGTAATTTTAGATCTTATTCCATGAAATTTTTACCCCTACAGATAATATTTTATTCGAAAATATCATTTATGTCTAGGTATTCCCGTTTTTAAACTTGATAAATGTGCACATGATTTTTATAAATGACATTAGTTATATTTCATGATATTTTACTTCGAGCGAAAAATATTCTGCAATGGCATATTTGCAGTCTCTCTTGCATGAACTTTTGTCAGTTACCGTTGTGAAAAAATTCATCGTATAAACTACACTGTCTCGAACATTTCGCTAATTACGTGTAATTCTTATTTACGTTCAGGCGCAAATAATGCCTTCACTGCCGCTCATCCTGTTCGGGTCCATGGGCATGATCGCGGGCGGCCTGTCTCTGATTTTCCCGGAAACTTTAGGGACGAAACTTCCGGACACCGTGTGGGAGGCGGAGAGGATCGGCAAGTCAAACGCGACTCGCGAAATTTTGGATCCTACCACGCCAAGCCAGGGGAGGAGCGACGCAGAAAGCTAGGACGCGTTTAAATCTTTCTCTTTCTCACTCGCTCCCTCTCCGTGCGAGAAATGGTGATAGCTTTTAAAAGTTCACTGCAGGGGACGGTGGGTGAGAGAGAGATGCACCCGAGATGCGCCCGGTGACGCCCGACAGAGATAAGGGGGTGCCTTCACGAGACTCGACGTCTAAAATACGCGGGGCGCACAATTGATGCGGGGAGAGGATGCGGGGCGAGATCCCGCCGTGCCCGCCGCACCAACGAGCGCGACGCACGCTCGCAGATTTTATCTGTCGGCGATTTGAATAAGCACGGCATATTCCACCCCGTAACTGTTTACCCTCCGCCACCGCCGTCGCTGCGCCCGTCGTCATTTGTCTTACTCCCCCGCGTTTATCCGCTCGCTTGCGCGCGCGCGGAGAAGAGAAGGATTATAATATCTTCCGGTCTTGGTGTTCCCACGGTATCTCGAAATCTTCCGAAATCTCCTCGACGTGCATGAGCGTGCAATTCGCGCGGTGTTAAGTGGAAATAGATCGGATCTCTCCTGGTGTCCGTCGCGTATTGTATATCAGTACGAATCACGCGTTACTTCTCGCTTCGCGGATCGCGATACTCGCGTGGCGTTAACCTTTGTAGGATGGAAAGTCACTACAGTGCCTAAACAGTGTCATATTTTGAGAGAGGCAAGGAATGCAAAGAATTATAATAAATCTTACTCAGGGAAAAACTGTAAAATTTAAAAAATATATTCTCATCCCATCGTATGAAGATTAATATATCATTCTTAAAATCTCGGTTCATCCAATTCTCTGACGGAGGTCGCAGCACGTAGAACGAATGATAAAGATGTGTGAAGAGAAATATGTAAATGCAAATATCACCTTCTATACGTTTTCGCGCCGTAATTTGCTTCGAATAGCGATACGCGGACGATTTGCTCACAGCGTGGACCATGATCACGCATCTGTAAACGTTCGAAATACCCGAATAAATATCTACTATACCTATGTATGTTATATTATATAGCATAATTTGACCGTTCAGTACACGATAAGAGTTCTTATTTTTATTCTGAGCTCTTGGTATTTTTATCCTGTAATTCACTGACATGACGTAAATCATATATCCTTTGTTGATTCGCGTTGTGGTAATTTAATTTTAATTATACTGGTGAGATGAGCGTGCGTTACGTGTTACGTGTGTCTTACGTGTGTTTCAGCCATTCTTATAAACTTTACTGCGATTTCTTATACGCACATACGGAAATGGCGTATCTAACGAAAACGTAAAGTATTACCGAGAGCAGAAATTTCTTTATCAAAAAATTTTGTTATTTTTTTATAAAGAAAAAGAAAGTAAACAGTATTCATTCTCGAGATGTTAGACACACCATTGTATCAAAGTATTAAATAATCTAAGTATTACATATTTTTTAAAAGAATGCTATCACATTTAGTATGAGCATGAAAAGTAATGTATTGTATCTTATTGTATAAAACTTGTATAAAACATTGCTAGAAAAAAAAAGAATATTTTGAATGAATTGCCGAACGATTTTGCTGAATGATGTAATATGCGCATAAATGTCAAGGAACAAATAGATTATTCTTTATATGAAATTGCATCAATTTTATTGCCATATGCTGTTTATAAGGTACGCCTTATGTTTCGACTACTTATTCTACAGGGATATGCAGTTTCAGATTATAACCTGGTAAGTTTGACATTTTAATATTAAAAAACATGCTTGACGTTTTTTTTTAATCTTCCTTTCTAAAGAGCTGCGTGAAAAGTATAATCGAATAAACGGAGAATTTCTGTTTTCTCTCTTCTTTGTTTATACATATATTGTATACAAATGTAAAAATTTTTCGGCGAGATTATTTTGCAGATTTATTTGATAATTGAACATTTAAAATGTTAATGATTTTTCCATAGAGCCACTATAATATCTGCAATGTAATTATCGGATATACGTTACAATTCTCATATTACGAACATGAGAATACGGACTAATCTATCCAAGTAACGATATTAGCCGCTACGTTTGCTTACCCCGTCACAATTACCGGAGATCACACCGGATCCAATCGGTTCGCTTTGCATTCCACTGGCTTGAGAAATCGGCCATGTTTACGATTCGCCCGACCCACATAGAGCCGGGCTCCTCGGATTCACAGCCGGCGCTCTATAAATCCAGGGATGCGCGTCTGTGTGTCGGACGGATCTTTAGCGCCGCGTATCATGCATGTGCACTTATGTGTACAACCTTTATCCTAGATTAACTACACCACGCTTAGCCCGGTTTCGATCCGCCGTGTATATGTAGGTATATGTGCTTCACCGAGCGCACGCGGGGACCTCCTATTTCGTTTATGCGAAAAAGATGCCGTTATTATAAATCAGATGGTGGAGATATCACGATCAAGTAATACCGCGATAATGTAAAAAAAGAAGAAAAGAAACAAAACATCTTATCGATAATTGACGCTTTACCGCAATTAGCAATATTTTACCGCGTAAACCGACAAGAGCAAAGTCCCTGTCGGTTGACGACGTTATTAGCGAACTTCTATCCTCTTTGCATCTTCATGCATTTTCATCGTTAAGCATTTGCATTTGACCGAGATAATCACGCCGCTCTTAATTTATGAATGGAAAATCGCGTAAGTGTAATCAATGCCCGTTTTGAAGGCGGCAATTGAGAATCTCTTCCTCTGACATGTTTCTTCTCTCAGAAGAGAACAGATACTCTCGCGAGACGGAGGACATTTTATTCTTGCATGCTTTAATTTTCGTTGCCTTAATTTTTTGTTTTGTTACAGCGAATAATCTGCGGAACACGTATAAAGAGCAAAGGGTAAGTGCGTGCGTGCGTTAACACGGGCAACCGAAATGGAAACAATTTTGTAGCTCGCGCCGCGTCTATCGCAGCCCACTTTTTTTTCCGAGAGAGATCTCACGAGTGCGCATTGTTACGTTGTTAATATCAGGCGACCAGCTGGCGGAAAAGCGCAATTTTTGTTCAGCGGGTAGCCGCGTTTAATGGAAACGGCGCAGAATTTTTTTCGCTGAGCCTTTAACGACAAACAATTGCGCCGTCACCTGTCAAACACATGCCACGCACTGCGAGTGCGAACGATTGAACCGATATTACGTAAGAGTTATATCGCATTAACAAAAAGAAATTGCCGCGCGATATATTGTTTCATTAACGTTACCGAGACTTTAATGGAACAATGTACGCCGCGCGTGAAAATTTCTCTCATATTTAATACAAGCATATAAATATATAAAATTATTTAATATGTACGTATTTAACATTTTATAAACTATTTTATAATTAATATTAGTTTAATACGATTAAAGTAATTGATTTAATTTTTTATAACATAAAAAAATAAAATTCGATTTACTAACAATAAGTGTAAAATACTTCAAGCGCATGCGATGTATTTTTTAACACTGTTGAGTTTTTAATAAATTACAGTCACAAACATGATTTTAAATTCATTGAAATAATGTAGACGCGTGCACAGTTAATAAATTGTTTTTCTTTCACTCATCAATACTCATATTAATCATAAATTTACATAGTATTGATCTATTCAACGTACAAATTGTCAAAACGTGTTATATAGCTGCTCATTACAGCAATACTCTTTACTCGAATTTGTGTCAGCGCTGGTTGTAAAACCAGCGCTGACACAAATTCGAGAGGGACGCGTGTTAGGATTTTTTTCCATCTTTTGAAGAAAAATTGTTATAAAAATAGATATAATTGATCAAGTTTGCGTGTGTTTTACGCAAGTGGATTTAATTTACCTTTGTAATGAAAGGCTGATCAGAGAGTCCTCGAAATCGTTACTCGTATTTCAAAATGTTACGAAATATCACGAAAAGGCTTGAGCCAGTCTGTAAATGAAAGTGAAAGAGGATGCTTGACAACATAAAACGACATGTTATATTAAAATGCTACATAGACAAAACAATACTGCAGTTTTCCTTCGAATGTGGCAATGCATATAGATGACAGCGCGCCACTGTCCGAAGGACACCTTAATAAAAATACCTCCGTAACCGATACCTCACTCGGAATAGATTGCGAAATGCAAACTGGGCCGTAAAAGAATTCCGATCGAGCGAATGCATCGACCGAATCGGCCGGGGCTTGCGGAGTGGATTAGAACTGTCGGGGGTTGAAATCGAAGCTGTCACTGCACACGTACTATACAAAGCTATCGATGCATTTTTATTCAAAATCGACGGTAATCCTGTCGCTGTATGCATATTGATTATCGTTCCCTGAATGAAAAGGTGCAAGCAGCACGATCAATCTCTTTTCCTATATATCACGTTACCGAAGCTAGACTCTATTGAATGGCTAATATATCAATAACTCCTTGCATTTGCTCTTACATAATACTGTTAACACGCCCGATTGAATCTCGCGAGGCGAAAAGTTGTAAATAAAAAAAATTCGAATAAAAAGAACGCGACGTTAGAGAGGTTAATTGACTTTTCGAATAAAAATGCGAGGTTGATGCAGGAGTTGTAAATTGAAAAAAAAGGAGAGAGAGAGAGAGAGAGAGAGAGAGAGAGAGAGAGAGATAAAATGATTCTGGTGAGACTTTTTCAAGCTAAAAAATATCAAGGAAATCGAAAGCGTGCGTCATTGCGAATAATTAAAGAAGAAAAAAAGAACAAATATCGTTACGACGGGTTGCACGAGGCGTTGCGATTCTCCGTACTGACGTAACGTATCGAGAATTTTGCATGTGACCGATAATTATGCTGCAACGGTGGTTTATCGTCGGCGGCGTTCGATCACGTTGCCGCGACATGATCTCCCGACGGATCCCGGCCGGGCCGGTTGCGTGATTATATCGCGCAATTGCAATCCGCGCGCAGAGAGGAAGAATTCCGGTCGAGCGCTCGTACTAAGGGAACTCACGGCCGCTCTCTCCCGACGTTGCTCTCTGGGGTATGCCCGAGTAAATCAGCTACTGTCAGGGTGGATGTGGAATGGATATGACGGTGCCGGGTGAAATGATTGGCGTACCGGCCCGCGGGGGACCAATCGTAACCGCGGTAATGGATCATCGATTTTTCCGTGACCTCCGGGATAAACGGTCCCGACGGGGGTGGCTCCGCGGGCTCGTCTCTGAAATTACGATTTCCCGAGCAAGCGACGGCGCGGCGCGGCGGCGGCGCGCGGCGTCTTGACCGCCCGCCGCTGCCGCCACCGCCGTGCCGCCCGCGCCGCCACCACCGATTCGCCGAACGGGCCAACAAATAAATTAGTCAAAGCGGGGATTTAAGGCGTCCTCGGTTTCCATTAGACAAGTCCCGTCGTATCTCTTTCCCTCGGCGGTGAGAAAGAGAAAGAGGGACAGAGAGAGAGGCGTAGTACGGCATTAGGACGCCTGTCCGACCTCCTCGCTGCCGCCATTTGTCTGGGAGGCTGCAAGCCAAGCTGAAAGAAGCTAATTTCGAGTCTCAAGCAGGGTACTGTAGAAAGAGCGCGGTCTCTCCTCTGCGTTTTCCGCGCTTCCTCGGATACCTATCGTTGCCCGGGGCACGTAAGTGGTTTCCCTTCGAGTCAAGTTTGTCAGCGGGTTACGGGTTCAATTACGTTTACAAACGGGCAACAGGAACAAACGTTGAATCTTTAATGGACACTGCAATACCGAGAAAACGTATCAGTCGATATTATATAACACTTCGCTCGATATAAATGTTATCTTTACAAAAATCTATAGGTGATACCAAGCAACGAGGAAAATTATAAGCATAAATAAGAAACGCATGGTTGATCTTGACGTAGCTGCGCGTGTTGCGTTCGGCGCAACTGCAGCGTAAAATGATCTCGATAACTAACGCATAAATATAAACATAATGTGAGAATATGCTTAATAATTCATTAACATAAATGAATCGTTTTCTTGTTGCTTGCGTATGAAAGCCGTCTTCTCCTCTCCGTTAATCAATTACTTGCCTTCCGGCTGGTTCTGGCTGAACATTTGCGTTCTCGCGGTCTCAAATACTCAGATAAAAGGAAAAGAAAAAAAAGAGAAAAAACTGCATAATGAAGTAGTGATTATTTTATTTAATGCATCGTCTATTATTTTATTAATCACTTATTTATAATGTATTACGAACGTTTTATTCCAAATTCTTTTAGCCAGTGGAATATATCCAAAGTTTCTGTCAATTTTTGCACAAAATTCAATAATTTTAACGAAAATAAAACGAAAAATATAAGAACTGTCATTTATAGTGCAATGCATCGTTTGCCTATAATACGTACGTCTAATAATATCTCAGTGAGTAAGAGAATAGCGCTAATTTTTTTGTTATTGAGAATAACTGCGAATGTCTACAAAAGTGTTGAAGTAAAACATCCATCATATTACGCAAATGTATTTACTTTCTTGAATTGTTTTTCCGTGTTTGCTGTGCAAGCAGAACCCGTAAATCGCACGGTTCATCGCGGTCGACAAGGTCGCGCGATTACATTTGACTTTTCGCGTGCAATCAGTATCTATTTTCGCTTCGCGCCGGTGCGGCTCTCTCTCGGACGCTATTAGACGCACTCGCCGTTCTCCGTTGCAGCACG